CCCATTCCTGAAGGTCTTCAAGAATGCTACACCCAAACCCCACTTTTTCCAGAAGGCCCTCAGGGATTCTACACCCTAAAATGATCCTTTCCAGCATCCCTGGGATGCTGCACCCTAAACCAGCCTCTTTCCAAAGGTCCCCAGGAATGCCACACTCACACCTACCCCTTCCAGAGGCACTTCAAGGATACATCCCAACCCCATGCTTTCCAAAACGTCCTCAGGGATGCTACACCCCAAAATCACCCTTTTCTGAAGATCCCTAGGGATGCTACATCCTAAAACTACCTCTTCTAGAAGGTCTTTAAGGATACTACATCCCAAACTCACCTTTTCTAGAAGGTTCTCAGGAATGCTACACCTCCAAACTCAGCTGTTCCAGTAGGTTCCCAGGGATGGTACACCCCAAACTTGCCAATTCCAGAAGGTCTTTATGGATGCTACACCCCAAACTCACCCTTTTCTGAAGGTTTCCAGGGATATAACACCCCAAAATCACCCTTTTCTAGAAGGTCTTCAGGAATGCTACACCCCACACTCACCCTTTCCAGTAGGTTCCCAGGGATGCTACACCTCATATCTGCCCCTTCCAGAAGTTCTTTAAAGATGCCACACCCCAAACCCACCTTTTCTAGAAGGTTCCCAGGGATATAACACCATGAAATCACCCTTTTCTGAAGGCCCTCAGGGATGCTATGCCCCAAAATCACCTTTTCCAGTAGTTCCCAGGGATGCTATACCGCAAATCTGCCCCTTCCAGAAAGCTTTTATGGATGCTGCACCCCAAACTCACCCTTTTCTGAAGGTTCCCAAGGATATGACACCCCACAATCACTCTTTTCTGAAGTCCCTCAGGGATCACACCCCCAAACCCACCCAAAAGTCCCCACCAGGGCCCTCACCAGGCAGGCTGTTGTTGACCAGCTCCAGGTACTGCTCCACGGAGGTGAGGACCTTGTAGCCAGCACTGTTGACCAACACCCGGGGCGGCTGCTCCCGCTCATAGGCCTGAGCAGGAGAAATGGTCATGGATGGGGTGTCCCCTGGAGTGGACACTGCTGGGGGTGGGTGAAAGGGGGGCTGCCCTCACCAGTTTGTTCTCGTAGAGGACCAGCCCGTAGTTGTGGGGCACCACGCAGAAGCGGTTCCTCCACTTCTTGTTCTCCTCGATGTACTGGAAGATGTTGCCTGAGTAGATGACATGGTCCTCCAGTGGAACCTGCAGGGAGGGGACAGCACAGGTGTCCTAGACTGCCAAGCAATGTGTGTTCAGTCACCATCTGTCAGAGCTGGGGCAGTTCTCTGCTGTCCATGGGCAGTTGTTTCTTTCTCTCTCCCACACCAACCCTCCCTCCAGGAGATCTCTGCTGTCCATGGCCACTGAGTGTCCCTGCAGGGCTGATCCCATTCCAGCATCCCATGGGGAGATGCTGCGCCCAGGGNTGGCACTGGGTGGGATTTAAGGTGCCTTTTAACTCAAACCATCCTGAAACAAGGGCAGGAGCCCTTGGGGTGAGCACTGCCCAGCCCCAGGTGACACCAGAGTGTCCAAGGGACAGTTTTGGAGCAGCCAGGGGCTCCAGGGACACCAGGCTGACCCTGTCTGTGTGAGGAACAGAGCTGCACATCCCCAGTCCCTACAGAGGAGCTGCTGTTACACAAACACAGTCTGAGACAGGGAGCTGAACATTCCCACACCAATCACAACCAGAGGCAGAAACAGAGCCTCTAATTTAGGGGAGAAAAAAAAAACCAACAACCTAAAGTGCTCTCCAACAACAAAAGAGCCTTCATGGAATATGAAACAGGATCCTGGAGCTCCCAGGAGCAGAGAGAGGCAGGAAGAACAAAGTCACAGACAAATCCAGGCTGGAGGAATGCAGCACCGAGCCCTCCCTGGCCACTGCCCACTTGGGAAGGCTTTTCCATCACATGCTGAGGAGGAAGAGAGGGAGGAGAGGATTTTCTGGCTGGCACAGGGGGTGGTGGAGGGGCTCCCACCTCCCCTGTGTCTCACAGCAGCACCCAGCAGGTGGGAGGGGAATTAGAGATGAAAATTGGGGGTTTGTTAGCAGGAGATCAATTCCTCTTTTATCCAGAGCTGGTTTTGCTCACAGCTGCTGCTCCAGCCAGCATGGGGGTTCTGGGGGTCTGAACTCACCCAGAAATGATCCTCAGGGGGATCACAGCACCCAGCTCCACACAAAGGAAGGGGCACATTCAGCCCAACGAGCTCAGACACCCCCAGCACAAAATAAAAAGGAGATTTTTTTTCAGATTTAATCCAATGTGGGGGGATGGAAACATCAGTGAAACCCAGGCTCCAGATCTCACCCTATTACAGCAGCTCTGGCAAAACTGAGGCAAAACTGAGGCAAAATTGAGGCAAAACTGAGGCTACCCAGAGTTCCCAGGAATGAAAGAAGCATTTAGAAACTGGGCAGAGTCTAAAATGCCCACTAAACACCTGATTCTGAGCAGGTTTCAGCTCTGGCACCGCCTTCCTCAGGAAATTTCTCACCATCCCAAGCATGGCCAGGACTTGGGGCTCAGCCCAGGAGTGCCCAGGCCACAGCCAAGCAGGAAAATCATGTTTTCCTGCCAGAGTATCACTGGTGTGGGAGGCAGGTCGTGCCTCCACCCAGCTGCACTGCCCTGCACCCCTGCCCTGCACTCCTGCCCACAGCCCTGGCAGCCCTCAGGAGGATTTTGGGTTTTGGTGATTTTAATTAACAAATATTTTCTCCCTCAGGGTGGGAAATGGGCATCAAGGCAGCTCTGGAGCCACCTCTGTGCAGGCTCTTGGTAATAGTTCCTCACGGGCAGAGGATGGAGCTGGGCACAGGGATGCTCCAGGGAGCTGGGGGTGATGCTGGCATTGATGAGATGCTCAGTCATGGAATTCTAGATTGGTTTGGGTTAAAAGGGACTTTAAAAATCATTCTGTCCCACACCCTGCTGTGGGCAGGGGCACCTCCCACCATCCCAGGGTGCTTCCAGCCTGGCCTTGGGCACTGCCAGCGATCCAGGGGCAGCCACAGCTGCTCTGTGCCAGGGTCTCACACCATCCCAGGGAACAATTCCTAATTCCCAACATCCCACCCAGCCCTGCCCTCTGGCAGCGGGAGCCATTCCCTGTGTCCTGTCCCTCCATCCCTTGTCCTCTGCAGCTCTTCTGAAGCCCCTTCAGGCACTGGAAGGACCTCCCTGGATCCTTCCCTGTAGCCACATCTCACAGAGAAAAGCAAGGCACAATTCCTCCCAAGAATATTTCTGTGTTTTTCCTTTCTCTGAGGAAGGAAACCCAGAGAATGTGAAGTTCAGAGAATGTGAAACCCAGAAATATTCCTAGGAAGAATCATGTCTTGCTTTTCTCTGTGAAATGTGGCTACACTTCCCTTCTCCAAAGTTCCTCAACAACTCCCACCCAACTCCTCCTCATGAGCTGCAAGCCATCCCCTCTCCCAGAGCCCTCTGCAGGTGCCTGTGCAGCAGGAGGTGGCTCAGTGTCCCCAGGTGTCACCCACCGTTGTTGCAGTGCCGCACGCAGTCCTGGAACACCGCCCGCCACTTCTCCTGCTCCTTGCCCGTCATCACACAGAAATAGTAGTGCCTGGCATAGGGGTGCCACAGCACCAGGGGGAAATCCGTGGGGCACTTCAGGATGGGAGAGTGCCCGGATTTCGGTGTCACACCTGTGGGAAAGCATGGGTGGATTCAGGGGGAGAGGGGGACGGGGAGGCTGCAGGGCTGGGGGTGTCCAGCAGGGACACACAGACCCTACAGCCCCTTCCCAGGCCTTTGCTGGGAGTTGTTCTAAAAAAAATGCAACAAGAGCCTCATTTTTCTGAAAAGGAGATAAAAATGAAATTTGAGAGGTAAAATTAAAAGTAATTAAAAA